TCCCGCCGGGGGGGGGCGGGTGCAGGGTCGAGGCCGTGGTCCCGCCGGGAGCCGGGTCCCGTCCGTCGGAGCAAGAGCCGCCCGCAATGTTTAGCAGCCGGCGAAGAAGGTGTTTTATTTTTTTTCCTGGTGACGGTCACCGAAATGGGCAAAAATTCGGCTGTTTCTGGTGAAGAACGTGGGCCTCGGCCCACCGATTGAGAACGGCTGAGCTGAAGGCGCTCAGAGAAGTTACGAGCAACGGAAGGTACAGCCCTGGCGTAGTACAGCCCACAGCAGCTCTCATCGTAGATTACGCGGGGCTGTTCGTTCACCCTGTCCCGCAGACGCAAGACAGCGTTGGAGGGTCTTAGTTACATAAAACGTGGGTTTCTTCAAGTAATTCCGTTCTCACGTTCACCGTGCCGAATTTTGCAGAAGGTTGTGGTCACTATTACGTCTTTGTACGTGCGCCCAGGCTGTGGCTCGCATCCTGCGAACGCTGAGGCGTGTGTTTAACGTAGGGACGAGAGTGTGTTTAACGAGGGTCCCCGGGACTCTCCATCGCACGGACGTTGAGCAGCGCTCGTCTCTTTTGGGGAGCTGAGGTCTACAGGTCTACAGCACAGCCACGCTCCTGGGGAAACGGGCTGCGCTGCTACGCGATTTGGTAAGAACCAGATGCAGCGCCAGGAAAATCCAAGTGTGGAAGAATAAGGCTTAGACCATGAAGTGAGGAGGGGTGTCTGTCCTCATATATACATACACACACAGGTACCTGCACAGCATGACTGAGAGGGAAGTTCAGAAATTTGAGTTAATAAAATTTATTCTACAAACTCTGCGTGAGAAGAGCCAGTGCGCGCCCCATCATATTTTGCTTCGTTTCAGGCAGTATCTAGGTACGTGCGCGTGACGGATTACGTTCTCCGTGTTAGTTTAGCACCGAAGGAAAAGGCTGGAGAGCTGCCCGGCCTCCGGCGGGGCCGTGGCACCACAGGCTGCCGCAGAAATTTCCCCTCTGCTTTTCCCCACTTCACTGCAGGGAGGAGACACCCCACCCAGGTCAGACCGAGCGATTCATTTTGTGGCTCTGTACGACCCTCGCTCCCAAAGAGGAGCCCAGGAAACGTCCCCAGCGGCTCGCGGTAACGACACCGGCTCATCGCGTGCAGAGCTTCGGGCGCCGTCACACAACCAGCGTCACAGCGTTCCCCTGGGACAGGGTCGCATCCAGCAATTCGGCAGGGAAAGTTGGTGGCCTACTTTGCTTTCTTCAGCCGCTCCGTTTCTGGGACGATCCTTGTTTTAGCACAAGCAGTATTTTGGCTTACCTCCCTTCTGGGAATGAGAATTTCCAGTGTAAAAGGTTGCAGAGTGCACGATGCACAGCGGACAGGAGGGGGAAAAAATCTCCTCCTGTAACAAAAAGTCTGTCGTTTAAGGGCTGCGTTAATGCTGGTAGTTCATAAAGCAGGGCTGTCTGCTCTGTAGCGAGCAACAAGCCTTCATACCGTGATGAAACAGCATGCAAGTATACAACAGAAAAATGAAGTAAGCATTTCAAGCCTTGATAAATTACAACAAGTAAATTAGGCACACAGTGTAAGAGAATGGGTTTTACCTTGCAAATTTGAAAGGAGAGACCGTGCACATCACTGATTATGATGAGTAACTTGCTAAACCACTGTAATTCGAGTGTACCCAGTCACAACCTCGAGAGACCTTATCAAAACTGTTCAGGTGGAATATTTTTCTGTCAGAAGGTGGTAGGTCGTGAAAAATGGAGGCATGATGATTTCAACAAACTTCGTAATCATAGGACAAAAATTCAAAATGCAAAAGTATTTGTTCTTTCCGGTATTTTTTATTTCAAAATCTATTTTGTTAAATTTTCATTGTTTATATCACTTAGAATAATGATTGTGTTAATTTTACAAATTTTTCTTTGTTTGTAGCATAACACAGCTAAAAATAAAGTAAGGACATATAACCTAAGGGCATCAAAATAGGGTCTTGATAACTGAAATTTTTTTTTTCCTTTTGCGTTGAAGGAAATTTCAGTCTTTTAATTTTATTCTGCCTTTTAGTGACTTTAATGATAGAATTTTCTGCGGGATGACAATTCAGCTTCAACCAGCTGTAGAGTGAGAGTTAACATTTTTCTTTAAAGACCTGAGTCCAAATGGTTGTTTAAAGTGCGAGTAAAAAGTAGTTTGGTGATGTTGCGGTAACGTCGGGTTACCATCTGTCACATTATTTCTGGGATCTGCTTGATTGATTCCTAGCAAATCACTTCCTGCGAGCATTATTATTGCAAAACTTTATTATGGGCAAAGGCTATTTCTGTGTTCATGAGCCGTCGTTACTGGGGAACGTTTCATTACCAAGTGATGACATTCTGTAAAATACCCTGGTGCATGGGCAAATGCCAGCACCACTTCTTGACAGTGGGTTGGCTGAGTGCATCTTACTCGGCAACCCCCAACAGATGTCAACCTTAAAATTTGTCAACAGCACAATAGTAGCCCATGTTCTGACATCCTTCAACACATCGGGTGCTCTGCTGACAAGAAGCCTATTCCACTGAAACTGCAAGAAGGCTGATGGTTAAGAAAGAATTTCTCCAGAGATAAGGGGGATAAGGTTGAGCAACGACTTGGTGACTTTGCCTGGCCTGGGTTATTCCTGCCGCTCCCCCCCATGCTGTGCACCAAGGCGCAAAGTACAGCCAGAGTGAACCAGGGCACAAATCCGTGAGGGTCAGCAAGTCCGCAGCATGTTGTTTCCAGGTCTGCCTTATGACCAGAATATATCCATTCACATTCCTGTGCCTTGCTTTCTCCTTCTGTAAAATGAAAATCCCAATTCTTAAAAGCATTCTCAGTGTTTTTACACCAAGCAGGAGCGTGAAATGTCATTGCAATCAGAACAAATACATACTCTGTCAGTGTGCCGTAAAACATTTAACTGTGGTGCTTATTTAGGTCCTGATCTTACAAAGATTTAAGCCCATTTATGAATGTGAGTATCCCCGTGGAAGACTAGATTACACGTGCACTTAAGTGTTATCAGATTGAAGTCATAGAACAACAATCACAAAAGGTACTTAATCACCTTTAAATTACAGTGTTCCTAATTTAGCTAATATTATTCCCCAAGGAAAAATTGCCTCATCTAGCATACAATCAAGAATCAAGGGCTGTTCCTTCAAGTGGTTGACAGTTCGAAAAGATATATGATTTTTAAAAAATAGGTTGCTAAAGGCTGAACTATTTAATTGAATTACCTCCTTAAGAAATTGATGCTAATTAATATTATAATACTCCACTACATTGCCACAGAATCTTTCATCCTCCAGCCTTCGTAAAATGTTAATAAACCTGAAAAACAAATGTACGCTTTTTTTTTTTTTTTAATGGAACCAGCATTCTGTCCCTGTTTGAGGCTTTCTAATAATGATTTATATCTTGAAGAATGATGGTGTTTTCCTCTTTATAGACTGAGGCAAAAGAGCCCAAGAGCTTCCAAGAGACAGAGTCCCTGACATGATTTCCTTCAGTCCTCAAGCTGCTCACCAGGTACAATCCCACTCTGTCCATAAAAGCAGATGAGCTCACTTTACAATGCCTAATTGGGTGGAGAGGTAAGATGGCAGGCAATACAGCCAGAAAGATGACAAAAGGCACTGATAAAAAATGGAGCAAACCCAACAGAATCCATGTAAGCCGGCTGTCCCTACAGCATTACAAATATTAAATAGTGACCCCTCCTTATCACTAGTGAACAATCTGCATTATATCTAAAGAGGCTTAATTATTCACTGGTCGTACATGGAGATGGGGACCTGGTGAGGGAGAATTCACTTTTTGGGGGGGAGCAGGTGTTTACAGTCTCTGGTTTCAGAACATAAGAAATAGCAATATTGTGGTTCTCCAGCTTTATTCGGGTTATTTTTATGTCCCAAATTGTTTTTAAATTACCAAGTAGCATTGCTGTAGTGGGGGTACCTCTGCAATCATTTCTGCTTGCTGCTTGCTGGCAAAATAACAGCTGCTATTGCTTTACTAGGATTGATTTCCATAGAACAGCTCCATCTAAAGCCTACCTACAGGCAACAACTCTGCAGCAAAATATCAATGCGGTCTCATTTTTGGCTGTAAGCTTTTCTCAGAAGAAAAAAACCCCACATTTTCAGCAAAGTCCAACATGGGATGTCATTCATTCAGAGCACATAGAAGATGAGATGCTTATTTTTAAG